ATATGATTTAATACCCTCAAACAAATAATACAAAATAATAAGAAAAATGTTAATAAGTCGGATCAAGAAAAAATTATGAAAAAAAATTATTTCAAAACTATATTATTTAAATAGACTAAATTAGCATATTTTTAGAGTAAAAATGAAGAATATATTAGTATTTTTTATAATACTTTATTAGAATATCTTAATTTGAAAGTATTTTTCACCTCTTTTTTGCAAGTCTAGTAAATAAATAGTAATTTCATATAAAATATAATTTCTTTTTTGAAGTAATTACAAATGTCAATGAACTTTCAATTAGAATATCAAATCTAATTATTAAATTAATAAAATATAAATTATACAAAAAATTACAACTAATGTAAAATTTTTTTCATACCCAAATAAAATTATTTGTCTTAAAAATTGATTATAAAAAAAGAAATGGTTCTTTTATGTAACTCTTAAATATTTTCTTTAAATTTAAAAAGGTCCTTAGAATTCAAACATCAAAAACAAATTTTATTCTAATAAAAAATTAATATACTACATTAAACAATTTTCAAAAGTTTAGGGGGGAAGACTGCCCCCCTTGTCCTTGGTAGCTCCGTCCCTGATTAGGGGCATTTCTTGCATTGGGAACCTAAGAAGATAATTTTAATGGCAATGTGCGTTACATATATGCCCCTCCAAAACATATTTAATTAATCACAAAAGGGAGCATTGTTCTCGCAATTCAATCCCTTAATTTTCGAAAAAAATTTAATTAATCACAAAACTCTAATTATTATGCATTGAAATCCTTTTCTATACAGAGAATAAAAACTTTTTACATTTTTAAATAATGATCATTTTTAGTTATATAAAGAAGTTTTTTTTTTTTTGGTTATCTTTTTGATGAATTGATATGTTTATTAATAAGGTTATTTATCCTTTTTTTTTCTATTATTTGGAAAAAAATGTAGTATATGATTTCAAGTACTTCATATAGTTTTTACACTTTTTTTTCTCAATTTCTAAGTAAACTTTTTTTTTTCTAGCGCATTACTCAAAAAAAGGGGAAATTGATCTTATGTACATGAAAACATTATTCAAAAGCATTAATTAAATAGTAGTTAATTTATTATTAATTTCTAGTAATGAGTATATACTTACAATTGTAAAAAATCATAGGTATAAATTAATATTATACCCATAATTATATGTGATTGAATGTATATATATCTCTTGTGTATACCTACTGTTTTTTATGTGTATAAGTAAAATTTAAATTCATATATTTATGAACTACACACAGTGACTAATAGTTTTTCTATATACTTACACCAATTTAAATTGTGTAGGTATAGAGTAATTTTTTCTACAGCTTTTTTGTGGATGTAGTTATAAGTTATCTATATCAAGGTTGTTAATACCGTACCATACCGATCGGTACAGTCAGTGCGTACTGTTTTTCATATTAAACCGAATCAGTATATGGTCCAATTTCGTTTTGGTGGACCATATATCGTTTCGGTCAAATTTAACTTATTTCGGTCAAGTTTCAATGTACCAGTCGATATTTCGACGTATCGCCCGGTTCACAAAAATTGTCTAGTACAATTCGATTCAAATTTAAAAAGGAAAAAATTTATTTTTGGTCCTCAACTTTAATGTTTTACATGATTTTCATTCTTTAACTTTTTTATGTACTTTTTTAATCCATTCTTCATATTTGTTTTAGTCATTTTATTAGTTACTCCATTAAATTTGTCTAAATACACATATTTTTAATCCCTTAATTTAAAATAAATGGACGAAAAATATGCATATATTAGAAGTTGAACGATTAAAAATAATCATTTTAAACTTGCTTTTAATTTATAGGAATATAATGGTTTTAAACATTAGCATCTCTTATTTTATTTTAAAATTTGATATTTAATTTATAAAAATATATATTTATAGCGATAAATTCGAAACGGTAAGCAAAAAATTTTGATATCCAATACTTATCATTTTAGTAACAAAATTGATATGTATGTCGATACAATAGTAATAACTTTGATCTATATACCCACAAATCATAAATCATAAATCATAACTAATAGAATCCTATACCCATTAAATAGTGAGCGTAGGTAAAAATAAGCGTATCTAAATAGCAAAAATGCTGTAGTGATATATTGTAACTATGGAAGTAGACACCAGTTCAAATTTGATTCTAAGATCAATGCTCTCCCATGAATAAAGGAGTGTCAATCAAAAGAACCTTCATGGCAAAGAGGCTCCTTGCGCATTAATCACTAGTGATAAGTGACACAAGTTCAAATTATATATATATATATATATTTTTTTTTTTCCTTTGTGAAAGATCTTTTTCACAACTATAGATCCACGCAAAGTTGTAAAAATTGAATTGGACCAGTCGATTGAACTGGTCGAACCGACACTTGGTATCACAAATGGGTTGGTTAAGTGCTTAGAACCAATAAAGAAGTTTAACCATTTAAAATCAACAAAATCATTCAAACCGATGTAAACCGTTAAACCGTTAAACCAAACGGTTTCAAATTCTTGAAAAACTTCCTCTAGCTTTGTATCCTCCAAGGCTCGAACACAATCTTCAAAGGAATTTTCGA